CCCAGGTGGTGTAGACAGCGATATCGGCACTCACCTGCACCCCGGGGAAGGTGTTCTTGATGAGGCTGGCCATCTTCAGGTTGGAGAGCAGGTCCCCCCTGGTCATCTTGTCGTCCGCCCCCTCTCTGGTCTTTCCCTTGGAGGTCTCAATCAGCTTGTTACTCTCCCGCACCGTCCTCACCTCCACCCCGCCCAGCTCCGCCGCCTGTACCGCCACCGCCAGCAGTTCCCACAGGTCCACCGTGCCTTGCTCGCCGGCCCGATCCCCCAGCATGAAGGCCGACAAGCGCCATGTCAGGAGCCCCGAGTAGACGTGATAGAGAACCCCAAGCCCCAGCAGACAGAAGACCCCGATCCCCAGCGGAGACAGACGGATTCCCATCGGTGCCATGTGTGTGTGCACAATAAGAAGGGACACAGGCAGCTGCTTAGCAGCGCATTCTACACTCCCGGCCGCCGCAAAGATCTGCCGAGACCCGCCGGCCAGTGCCACTCACACAGACACGTCTACATCCGGGTCACAGGAGGAGAGGAGGCGCCTGGGAGGGCATACGGCTGTCACTTGGGAGGGTACGCTTCTGTCACTGGGAGGGCATACTGCTGTCACTGGGAGGGTACGCTTCTGTCACTGGGAGGGCATACTGCTTTAACTGGGAGGGCACGCTGCTATCACTGGGAGGACACACAGCTGTCACTGGGAGGACACACAGCTGTCACTGGGAGGGCACGTCTCTTACTGGGAGGGCACACTAATATTAACCCTTTTGCTGCCAAGACATTTTTTGCACACGTTATAATCCACATTCTAGGCCTGAAATGACCTAAACCCCTCAAACATTATATATTTTCTGAAAGCAAAGACCTTGTAGAATAAAATGTTGGCAGTTGCAAATTTTTATGTCACACAATATTAGCGCAACTCTTTATCAAACCCAGTTGCGTGTTTACGGAAATATGCACGCGCTTGAGGGGGGTGGGGGATTTAAAAAAAAATGTTTGCAATCATACATTTATTTAGGTTTATTTTTTAAAAACTTTTTTTTTTAAACTTAAAGGAGATCTATGAGGTGAGCGGTTTCAACTCATCCTCATAGTTCAAGCCGACCTGTGACAAAGAAGCTGTCACCGGTCGGCTCTATCGATCAGGAAGTGAGCAGAAACATGCCGCCGATCCCTGCAATATACTGAGCTTTGGGTCACGGGAGGAGGTTAGTATACACTGAGTGGCCAGATTATTATGACCACCTGACGTTTGTAGGCAAATTAGCTATAATTTGGCGCTGAAGTTGCTAGAGGGCCAGACCATTATAAATAGGGAAGCAGGTTGTTTACCACGACAGTAGAAGTGATTTTTTTCGGAAGATATGGGGAAACAACGCGATTTAACAGCCTTTGAACGTGGGATGATTGTTGGCGCTCTGAGCCATGGGGCGAGTATCAGCAAAACAGCAGAATTCGTGAAATGTTCAAGAGCAGCTGTTGTTAAAGTGTTTAAAGACTGGACTGTCAGCCGAAAATAGGGGTCTGAACATGCGAATTGTGGCCGTCAGCGACTAATCTATGTTAGGGCAGAACGGAGAGTGGCAAGACTGGTACAAGACAACAGAAGGGCAACAGTGCATCAAATTACTCCAGATCTTAATCAGGGATCCTCTCAAATGATCTCTGAACGCACGTTTTTATCCCCCTAAGTAATAGCAAAGACATTAAGTGTAAAAAAAACATAAAAAGAGTAAAAAAATAAGTCACATATAAAAAAAAGGTAGGGCTGGTAATGATTCAAAATTTCCTGTTCGATTAATCAAAATATTTTTTAATTGATTAATTTTCGATTAATTATAACGCACATACAGATCCAACTACATTGGCCTATACACATACAGCACAGCAATGAAGTAATAAAATGAACTAGGATCACACTAATCCGGCACGTTATTAATCTCACGTGCCCCACTCAATATGGCTGCCGCTTCAGTGGGCCAACTCAGAATAATAACGTGCTGGATTAATGTGATCCTAGTTCATTTTATTACTTCATTGCTGTACTGTATGTGTATAGGCCAATGCCAGGGATCCCAACCTGAAATAAGCAATTTCAGGGAGGTGTCCCTCTCATTTCAGGGAGGTGCCCTCTGCCCCCCATCCGCGAAGGGGGGGCTGGGAGAGAGCACCCCCCTGAAATGATGGCAGATAGCACAGGAAGCAAAAGCTTCTTTGCTATCTGCAGACTT